CGATTCCAATACTTTACCTTACACACAAGGTGTGTGCGGAAAAGTAACAAGAGAAAATTACTGAAGAAGAGAATTTTCTATCTCTTAAATAAGATTTTATGAAGAGAAAAATCATTTATAAAAAATGAAATTTTTTTTTTTTTATAATTTTCAAATTTGAATTTTTTTGAAGAAAATGTATATTTTTGGAATTTTTTTTCTCTCTTTTTCATGATTTCTTTTTCTTAAAAATTATCTTCAATTAATAACAAAATTGGCGATAAATTTGTAAATAAATTAATTAATTCCGAGTTTTTGTTCCACAGACGACGGCCGTTGACATATTTTCGCTTGGTTGTGTGTATTACTATGTTATGTCAAGCGGAATGCATCCATTTGGCGACGCGGTGAAGCGACAATTGAATATTATATCATATGAATGTGATCTCAAATTGTTTAGTAATCCAGATATGTTGGATAGTACAGGTGTATTAGCTGAGGAATTAATAGGAGATATGATCAGTCGGGAGCCGGTCAGGAGACCGACAGCAAAAGCCATTTTGTCACATCCATTCTTTTGGAATGCAGAAAAAATTCTAAACTTTTTACAGGTATTTCTTTTTCTTAAATTACGTTAAATTATTAAGTAGAATTTTGAGTAGAAAAATCAAAATTGTGAACAAAAAAATTTGGAAAAAAACCAAATGAATATTTTTAAAAAAGTATTTTGAAAAATATATATTTTAAAAAAAATTAAAAACCAAAAATATTTTTTTTGGAAATACATATTGCTACAATTTTCTAGAATTTTCTAAAAAAAAAAAATATTAATCAAAAATCAAATTAATTTATTTAAAAATATTTCCAGGATGTAAGTGATCGTGTGGAAAAAATAGATTTCCAAAGTGATCCATTGAAGACGTTGGAAAAGAATAGTAAATTCATAACGAGAGAAGATTGGAATTTACATTTGGATGAGACAATCACCTCCGATCTTCGTAAATACCGTGCATATCAAGGCAATAGTGTTCGAGACTTACTGAGAGCATTACGGAATAAAGTGAGCTTTTATTTTATTCAAAGGCACCACTTGTACAAGGGTTTTCAAAGCTGAGTTTAAATCATTTAAAAATTAACAAATAAATCAATATTGGGAACTATATCGAATAATTTGATGTATTTCGAATCAAATTATTTGAATATAATATTTTCAAATTCAATGAATTTATTGGCTCTTTGATTTCGATTAATAAATTAAGAACCTTTGAACAAGCTTCATGGCCATTCCATCTTGAATTGCTTTAAAATATTCGCGACACCAATTTTCACCTGAATATTTTTTTTAATCCTAAAACAGAAACACCACTACCACGAGCTGTCCATCGAGACGCAAATGCGACTGGGACCGATACCGCAATCATTCATGAAGTACTGGATTGATCGTTTTCCGCGGCTTTTATCTCACAGTTATCATGCCCTAGAATCGTGTAGCAACGAGCCAATATTTTCATGTTATTATCCATCAACGTGTTACGTCTTTTCAAAGCCGCGTTATTTCTACGAGGAAACGGAAGATTTCAAGCCATTTGACACGGGCTCAAAATCGCGTGACAGTCCAAATCGCTTCAATTACAAGCCGATGAATTACCCAAACTTTGTCATGACACGAAAAACCGGCCCAAAATTTCAAAACAATTATGGCCCAATGAATAACGGTGATGGTACAAACCTATCGACTTACACAAGAGCAACGAAAAAAGGTGCATACAATTTTCACCGTTTTGCAAACAACGAACAGAATAACTACAAGCCAGAGCATAATGAAAATTTGAAATGGGCCGACAACGCAAAGGCATACGAATTTATTGAAGTCACGAGAAATGAGCAAACATTTGAAAAATGTGACAATGAGGAAAGAGGAGAACAATATGATAATGGTGCTAAAGAGAAACGAGTGCTAAATGTACGGAATGTCGATTTTGACAAGATAGATGCAACGAAGGCTGATGACAGTGAGAAGAAGGGAGACAATTTTGAAAAGAAAGCAAAAAATACCGACAATCCCAAATTTGACAAATCGAAAAAGAAGAACAAAATCGATGCCGCTGTTAGCAAAGAACCAGAACCACTGGAAGACGATGGATTTACAAAAGTTCGATATCGGGGTCATGGCAATTCAAAGAAACAGAAAAATAACGAACAGGTCACATGGATCATACCCAATCAAGAGAAGAAATAAGACCGATATTTTTCTTTTCGTCGAATTGTGCGCTACTTTCCAAAATAAGCCATGACTGTCGTTTAAATAATTTATATTTTTTTCATTCCGTTTGGTGCCTCATCAACGGCTGTCAAATCAGCTAAGTCATTTCTGTTAAAAATGATTGTTAATAATAGAGAATACTAAAAAATTGATGTGAAAAAACAAAAACAAGAATTTGTCGGCAATAATTCGATTTTTATAATATAAAACACTGAATTTGCACTTGTCTGTGATAAACGTTGTACATTGTGAAAATTAGTTTAGTCATATATTTTTTTGCTCGTGTTGCTCGACAAAAACAAGTGTATATATTTGGAAGTGATGAATGAGGAACCAATTTTTAATTTCTGGAATTTGGAGCACAAGCACACATGCACAAATACAGCGGCAAACTGTTGATTGTTGTTGTCATTTATCTGTATGAGAATTTGATGTGACCTTGTTTACAGAATTACTTTTAAAAGAAAATAGTACAAATTCGCCAAAATCGTGTAGTGTGAGTTAAATAACAACATTTGTATCATATTTTTCAACATTTCGGGAAATACAGGCTGCAATAAATCAATTGTTGTAAAATTTGGTTCTTGAAAAAGGTTTATTTTGAAAACTTTTTCTAATGAATTTTTTTCTTCTTCAAGAAAATGAGCATATGAGTTTTAGATAGAAATTGTTAGATTGATTATAGCCAAGAGTTTAGTGTATTTTTTTTTTAAATCTTCGCATTACACATTCCGTTTCGAATCAGTTTGAAGCATCACTTTTATCATGGTAAAAATCTCAAATAAATCAATTTTACCATTTAAAATTTAATTGAGTCATAACTCAAGGAGGAATTTTAGTCTGGAAAGACACACTGATTTTGGATACAATTTTGTAGAATTCTTTGTAACGATGAAATAACGAAAATAAATGTATCTTTATTTGTTTAAGTGGCTTTGTATTTTATTTATGGACTTCACTTTTTGTGAAAACATTCAGAAAAATGGAACAACATATACGAAGTAGACAGACCGACCAACGATTTTAAGGGTGAGTTTTAACAGGAAATTTTTTTTGAGGTGGTTCCGATCGACTTGTTTACAAGTGATTGTATTTAGAATATTTTGCCTCCTCACTTACACTCTTGCAATTGATTCTCCGCCAAATGAGGTATTTTTCTGCTGAAAATATTCCCGAACAATGTCTGGAATAAGTTACATTTGTCGTAGCAACCCTATATATGAGAAACGGGGGTTAGCCGCCAAAAAAAGTAGAGAGGTGTTAGCAAGCTGTCATTTTCAAAGGGTTTTTCATAGACGTATGGACTCCTTGACTCTCCGACCGTGCCCTTGAATGAACCACATTCCATAAAAATTAATCGTTATTTAAGTCCTTTAATAATTGACCAACAATGTGGTTGGTTTTAGTTCATGCATTTCAATTTTGAACTTACAGAGGTAAATGACAAGACACTTTTACTTCTCAATAAAGAAATAATTTATAAAATACATTTTTTGAAAAAAAAAGTTTTCGTTTATTAAAGTTATTTTTCCCATGGGCATCACACCAGACATGACACTTCACTCTATCAACCAAAGTTGCTCAAAATCTAGGTTTATACTTTATTACATGGTAATCAGTAATTATGGCTCTGTGTCTCTATTTCTATTCTTTGTAGCTGCTACTATGTTCGGTTGTACGAAAGACGTCAACAATAAACAAGCTAATCGACAAACACTGAGTACAGGATGATGGTATTTTCTTTGCTTTGCTTGTTTAAATATCTCTTCGTTGCTGATGCGTTTGCTAAT